GTGAAGCCGTGAAACGATCGATAAAATGGGCTATTTCCTTCAAAAACTGAAACACTATATAATTCATATTTTGAGTGAAAGCTTTGCATTGTCTGCATTTATCACAAGTGTGCCATATGGAAGAGGAAATTGGTACTGATCCGCTTGCGGAGCCGATTTTCGGAATGCAAAATGAGAGGTTGGTGGAAGACAGAGGAGTGTTCCGCAATAACCTATACTCAGATGTTCCTTCCGATTGGGGGGAGGAGACGCTAGATAGATTAACCGGAAGCTGTCTTCTTGCATTTTCTTTTGTTGACCTCCTGGTTATATTCGGCCTTGCCGCGCTGACTGCTCGCTCTTTTCACTCGGACTATATGGAGCAAATGATGAATATAAGATTGGATGCCACAAGCGGATCCTATCAACAAATCTCACATCTGCTAACATGTAAGTTGAAAGATGCTTGTTTGCCCTCACAGCCCTCACGCCAATAACACATTGGTAGCAGGGTGATGTGGTTGACTGGACGAAATGTATGCCTATTAATACATGAAAATGCGAGTTTCGTAGAATCTCATGAGATATGATTGATGTGAAGACTTTCATTTCGTATGGAAATACATGATGAAGCGATTCATTGGTCAGTCTCACCAGAAGACGTCGACTGAATTAACCAAACTTTCCACATCCATCTATATCTTAAATTTTGCTTGAAATTAGTATGTAGTAGTAATCTTGAATTAGTGTTAACTTGAGGCTTTTACAAGAATGAGTCCCAGCTCTGACGATGTTCGTCACACGACGAACGAAATCTCAGCCCGTCTTCACCATGAACGTTGGAAGATGTCTCGTGAATGGCATCAACCTAAACGTCGAATTAAGGACAAACGGTTGCAGTACAACGGGAATCAGCTGATATCTTTTGGTGAAATTGATCTACCAATCTCTTCATCAAGTACTTCCATGCGAAATGAAAGTCTTTACATAGAAATCCAAGTCTATTGGGTTCGTGAACTAGAGTCGAGCTAGGCAGAAATTGTTATTCATCTTA